CTTCCCAAGAATAACCAGTTATCTTCCCAAGAATAACCAGTTATTCTTCCCAAGAATAACCAGTTATCTTCCCAAGAATAACCAGTTATTTTTTGCAGAAGGCGTGGTAGCGTTAAGACTGATTTCTGAAAATGGACGATTCAAAACCCAAAACGAGGTCATATCATGTGGCAAAACCAGTGGCTAAACCTGTGGTCGAGAATGGAGGTTAGATTCAAATCCGAAATCGAGGTGAAATCATGGGGTAAAAGTAGGGGCTAAAACAGGGAATAATAATAAGTGTGAGATAGAAACTGAAAATAGAATCAAATCGTGGGGTCAACTTAGGTAAGTTGTTTGGTGTATGCTCGGGTCCACACTGTACATCGGGGTATAAATATGGTATGAATTACGGTATGAAGCATACTTCAAGATGGGATTCGAGTCTGTCGGCGCGATGGAGTCATGTGATAAAGGCAGGGGTTAAATAGTTAGTTAAACAAATAGAACATCCTGGTTCCTTCTGCTTTTGACGGATGGATGTTGTCGTCGTGTCTGAGAGGCTCCAAGCAAGCTCTTGTCGCGAGGATTACCAGATTGACAAGACATGTTGCCAAACGAAGTTTTTTCCTGAAGATGTCCATTTTCGGAGCCATGTACTTGCCGCGGACTGCGGCAGATCGGGAAGATGAGTCGCCCAGCAGGCAAACGGTTCGGAATGTGATGTTGCTCGCCGCATCGATATCGTCGTGGTTTGTTGTTTTCGATATGATTGGAGGATCGTATGATCTCTTAATACATTGTGCGCAGGTCCCGTTCGAGATCGGAGCACTCGGAGCGCAGTTCGGCTCCTGCGTCTGAGCCTGCCGCAATACAATGGGCTCTGCTCGGTGCAGGGTCTTTGGGTGTAGGGCCGGATCTTTTTCGAGAGCAAATCGAAGATCCTTTGGCAACTCGGGTTGCAACACAGCCACAGGGGACTGGTCACACAAAGTTTGTAGCGCTTGGGCTAGGGCAAGGGCTGCAAGCTCTACAGTAGATTGCTATCAGGTGTTGACGACCGCATGTTCGTGCAGTGGTGCTCCTACCATTGCATTGGCCGATATCGTCGGCCATACCAATTTCGTTGAGATCGCCGCTGCAGAAAGGCATGTGCTTGGGCTGGTGGTTGGAGTCGAAGTGCAGATGGTGACAGAGTGACAACGTGCATGTTTTGGATTTGTTTCCCTGTTGATACAAACTGGCTCGCAGCTAAGGGAGCTACCAGGCGCTGGTTGCTGCAGAACACTGCTCCGGAGTGCTGCTACAACGACATTCGAGGGATGCGGCCCCACAGTTGCAGCAGTGACGTGTTTCAGGCATGCTATGTTGTAAGTCAAACATGACATAGGGGTTGGGCCTGTCAGGATTGGTGAACCCGGCCGGCCACCGCTTCCACCCGTGGTGCATCCCGTGCCATGTCCCAAACCATTTTTGAACTTGCAGTGGAGCAGAGGGAGTTTTGTGGTTAGGGTTAGGTGGCATCTAGGTGTCTTTGTCGTTATATCATATCAGCCCTGTCACAAGGACTTCGTCAAGGAAGACCTCTATGTGGTGGGGTTCACGTGCAAACTCTTCTCCCAGGACGTGGCAGAGAATGAAACGAGAGGGTAGATATAACTACACAAGATTGGACTGTTGCTCACACGACTTGCCTTGATCGTTTCCTCTCCGGCATAGTGGAATTGCGCAGGAGTCCAGCATCAGATTCCAGCACGAGTCCGTGTCGGTCATGTTTGACGAATATGGCCCCCATGTTCTTTGGCCGATCTGTGACAGCAAAAGGCTACATAGACAGATTTCTTAGAGATGTTGTCCGAGCCGCATGGTCGCTGAAGCTTTGCTGGATTTTCAGGCCGACAAAGTGGTCCCCTTCTTGGAGTGCAGCCGGCACATACGGAGGCGGCGACCCAGGCCCATTCGAACTAAACTCGCTCGGACTTTACATTTTACTTGGTTCCTGTCGAAGTGCTTTGATAAGTCAGAAAATGAAGTTGTTGCCCGGAGATCAGAGAGCCGTATCTCATGTCAGCACCTCACATCCAAACCTGTTTTGGAAGGTTCTTCATATTGGAGAACGTGCAGGGATGTTTGAAGCAGTCCTCGAACGTGTCCGAGGACGACCCATACAAGGCCAGCGTTGCCGGGCCATTGTAACACATTGGGTTAGTGTCTGATTGCCATTGCTGACTGCGTGCAGCACACCTTTGAATTGTGACTTTGTGCAAGCAACGACGTTGTGTCCTTGACCGCAGCATGTGTCGGTGCTGAAAGTGGAAAGGCTATCGGGCTGTTATAGCCAGTCGCTTTTTTGCGCCGCCATGTCAGTGTTTGCCTCTTTGTTTCTGCCCGCGGGAAGACGGGTGGCTGTTGAAGTTAGACGTCGGCATGAAACTCGGGAACCTTGACTGGTAAATCGATCCCCAACTCAGGTTTCTTTGGCCATATTACTTCACCGAAAAATAATTCCTTATTTTCAGGGTTCAGTCATCCAGCTTGCCGAGGATGCTCCCCAGCCACAACAAGATGGACGAGATGTGTCAAGAGTCTCGCGTGGAGCTATACACAGTGTCCATGTGAAGCTGGGGATACAGAATCAGAAATTGAAACAGATCGCCGCCTTGAGCAACGCTTCTGCAGACGAGAAACTGAACATTGTCAGAACAGTCTTTGGGGAGTACCAGCATGTTGCTACCAGAGGGGGTTTGCATGTGTCGCAGAACCTTGTGCTTTACCCTGGCAATGATTCAGAGTCTAACTTCGACGGGTTCGATTTCACAAGCGACGTGCATCGTGGTATGAGAAGACAACAGCACATCGGTGTCTACAGCCATGTAGCGGCAACGAGAGATTCCCTGTCGAGTTTTGTGGGAGAAGAGCCGTGCAAACATGCGATTGTGTCTTGCCCGATGTGGTGTTGTTTGGTGTCGCTTCTGCACCTCCTGTCGCCGTTTTTTGTTGTTGAGTAACTTCACTTAATAGTATAATTCTGAATTCTTAATAGTCTGTACTTGTACACAGTATTTACACGAGAGCTGCTTCTCGTCCAGGTCACAGTCGTGTCCGACGATACAAATGTTTGGGTTAACAACCCCTCCAAGAAGCGTGAAATTCTGGAGAACGGACGCACCGCGGATTCCGCCAACAAGCACAAGGGCATGAAGCGTGTGCAATCTCTTCTTGGCATGCTGCAGCACGTAATCTTGCGGAGGAGTGACGGTGACGGGATGGGTTCACAGGCCATAGCCCAAATTCATGCCCCCTGTCAGCTGCTTTCGCGTGCCAACTCGTGGACGACACTGCACAGGATGCGTCGGTGGAGCTTGTACTCGTCTGTTGGATGTGCGCCTCAGTTTGGTGGTGAAAGCCTGTGGAATCTCTTTGCAGCTGTGCCACTTAAGCTGGTCTTGCACTGTGGTGATGCGCTTCCAGCAAACCACGTGTGCCAAGCTGCCGAACATGTTCGGTGGCACCAAAGACGGACTGAGGGCGACATCAATGCGTCAACGACTTTGCAGACGGAATGCAACTGTCTTCATCATCAAGCTGCCCTTGCACTCAAACCCGGGCTTCTCAGTGTTGAGGGCTTGTGTTCGGGAATGGTGAGGATGACCAGGGCGATGAGAGCCACGAAATTTCAATGTCTTTACCAAGAGGGTTTGGACATTCTAGCAGAGTCGGTCGAAAGGCGTGTGGTGCAGCAGCTTCCTTCCGGAATACAGGGGATCCAAGCAAAGCAGCAACGATTGCTTGGCATTTTGGGCCATGAACTATTGGAAGACGAGCAGAAGCTGATCCTGTCAACTTTCAATAGTTCCTGGGATGATGAAGTGGGTGCTGATGGCAAGTGGGTGCACTGGTGCAACGGTTGCTGTGTGTCGCAGCAGGATTGTGTGAATCGCAGTCGTGAATGCTTGCGGTTGTTGTTTCAGCAATTTCCGCAGGTGCCGCTCCTGTATAGGTGGAAAGGTTGGGGGCCGTGCCAGAACTACTGCACCCGTGGTGTTTTCGTACACAACTTCGTAGCTTTTCTTATTCGGCGCTGCTGTAGCAAGCACAGTCAGTCTGCAGTGGACCAACAGGCTATGGACGAAGATTCCCCCGACCTGCCGCTTTCTTTGCGGCAGGAGATCCGTATGACCAAAACGTTGGCCTTCATGACTTCAGGAACCATCCGTGTCTTTCGTTTGAACCGAACATATTTGCTAGGCTAGAATGGTTTTTGTTTTTTGGTTTGATAGTCTAGTCATTGATGGTCCTTGATGGTCCATATATTTTAATATGGAACAGATCATTCAGGCTGACCTTGGCAAAAGCCTTCTGGTATATTGGCCGTTGGCGACTTTGATGGATTTCATTTCACTAGTTGAGACAGCTCGCAGCCGTGCTCAACTGCGCATTCGATCCCTGGCTCTTCCTGGCAGCCAGTGCAAGTACAGTGAGGAGGAATTGCGAGACATGAATTGGTCTGTCCTTGGTGGCGCAAAGGGCGAAGAGGCCGTGAAGGAATTCACCGTCCTCCTACTTGCTTCTCCAGATGAAGAAATCCTTCAAGCCTGTAGAGTCTCATTTCCAGATGTGCTTCCCCACGTGTTTCCAGCCATGTGCGATGCATGGCGCCGATTGGTTCTGCCGACGAAGAAGCAGAAGACACGTCTGCTCGGTATGGGCAGAATGAACACGAGCCAGGCCAAGGAACTTTTGATTGAGATGGCCAAGATGCCAGTATGTTGCATTGGTGACCCGTTCGTGCAAGTGGAGCGCTCAGTCAGCGGACAACGATCAACACAGACGTGAGTAGGTAAGTGAATCTTGTGAAGTGGGCTTAAGTTGAAGTGTTGATGTGGGCTGTAGTTTGAGTTGATGCTTGGGTTGCTCGCTCTGCCAGGTTGCAGTACGCAGTACAGATCACAGCCAAAGGAGAAAATGACGCAGCTGTGAATCAGTTGCGGGATCTTCTCCAAGATGCTCTGCTCCATATGCCGGCTTCTTCAGTCAATGTCGAGAAGTTTCACGCCAACACTCAGCAGACGGCGACGGCACATCGCACAGGCAAGACTGCTGACAGCCTCCAACTGGACACATATGTCATGTCCACCCGTCTGGAGCATGACAGATTGAAGCGAGCAGCCCAGGATGAAACTCTGGGTGCGTCCAAGCGACGTGCCGGAAAGCTTCTTTCGAGCCGTGTAGTTTCTAGAACCATACCGGGGACCACCAGAGGCAAGGTGGATGGCAGAGGTGGTGGCAGGCGCAGCACGCTTGCGCAACTTGTCGTGACCAACTCGCTGGGGATGTGACCATGCCCAGTTTGTTTCGATATTAAAGAACTTAGCAAATTTTAAACAATATAAATAAACTGATAAACTTAACTCAAATTATATTTTTTAATAATGTAGATTAGTAGATTAGGCCTGGGACTTGGGGGTTCAAGGCTTCAAGTTTTGCGGCTGTAGGGTTTGAGTCTGAGGGCTTCGGGGTTTGAGGATTTTTAATCGGCTTTAGCGGCTTTAGGGTTTGGGCTTCGGGCTTTAGGGGACTGGTACAAATCCGACGTGTCTGCTCCGTGGGTTTCTTCAGTTTCTTCCATCAGTTGCCTAGGTCGTTGTGTGGCAAGGCCAACTCTTGGAAGGCTGCAAAGAGGAGCAGACGAGTCACAGGATGCAACGTGTTCCAACAGGAAAGGATGCGTGGCAAAAAACTCCGTGTAGGAACACCAGAATACAAAGCTGTGCAGAAACAAATTATGGCGGATTGGCAAGTGCTGAGTGATAGGGATCGTGCCGTCTTCAATGAGAAGGCAGCGCGGCAGGAGCACGAGCGTGCTATTCAGCGGAAGAAGACGCTTCATGTCAGCAGCAATGCCGCCGATGCCTCAGAATTGGCTGAACTGTCGGGAGCTCAGCAGCGGCGCCTTGGACAAAGCCAACTGAACACGTCCCTTCAAGCACTCGCATCCCATGCTGTCTGGAACAGTGGTTTGGGCATATTCAATCACGTAGCTGCTTTGCGGCCTTCCCTGGTGCAAAACATTGACTCGGATTCCGACCTGTTGACCTCGTTTGGTTACATTCCAGAGCCGGAGACAAATCCCAGGGTCATGCCGCACATGTTTTGCAGCTGTGCAGAGGCCCACCCGGGCATATGCAAGGATGAGTCCTGTTACCCTCAGGTTGCCATCATGGTGCAGCAGTTCCAGCGCTGTTTGGAGGTGCACAAGTTGCAGACCCTGACCTTATTCAAACTGCGGTTGGTGTGTGCAGCCTCTCCCCAACCTCCGATGTGGCTTCTTCTCGGTTGTGTGAGCAAGAGACCGCTGTCACATGTGTTGGGTCAGTTGGTGCAGCATGCGCAGGTTGCCGATGTCGTGACGCCCATGTTGCAGGATTCAACGTGGGTCCTACATACTCTCCATGCGGTTTTCCGTAATCTGGTGAAAGCACAGAGAATGGATCTAGATGCCCTTTGCATCGAGTTCAGTGTTGTTCCTTACGATGCCATCGCGAGCCACCCGGCGCCCTCCCATTTCAGGATTGGGCAAGAGCGTTTGCGCTTCCAAGTTGGCCCAGGCGTAGCTTTTGCTCAGAAGCCTGAGAGGAACATCCAAGGACCGGTGTCTCTGCCTTTTGGCTTCCGCCCCTGCCTCTTACAGCCTGCTCGAGGCAGAGGCAGAGGAGGTGGTCGTGCCGGTCGCACCAGTGGAAGAGGCAAGAAGGCTCCAGAGACCGGTGCGCCCCCTGAGGAAGTCTCTGCAGCGGTCGACGATGGTGTGTTGCTTGATGACTTTGGTGATGTCAATGCCAATGTCGGTGAAGCATCGGCTGATGCTTTTGTGTTGGAAACCATGAGCATGAAGTACGATGCCAGCCCTCTTGCACCAGAGCATATGCCTGAATCTGTGCCACGTGAGATAGCTGCAACTGCGAAGGGTTTGAGCAATCAGCATCAGGATCAGCAAGATGATGCTGGCGGGGAGCAAGCTACTTCATCCACTCGCCCGAGGGAGTCAGAGTCACTGACTGCTGACCGAGGTACCGTTGCTGTGGAGCAACCAACTTCCACGGCTCCAAGCGTTGCTCCAACAACGACTCGCTTTCATGATCGTCTTGGTTTGATGGGCTGCCTTGTGGCCAAGCGGCGGATGCAGTGCTATGTTTGTGAGCAGCCGATTCACAAGGGCGACTATCGGCTGGAACATGCGTTCAATTATCGTCGACCACAGCGCTCTGTCCACCCGGAATGTGTAGGACAGATAGCTTGCGACACTGTACAGCAGTCCATTACTTGGTTGGGCAGCCAGCTAGATCTTGTTGCTTCTGATGACATGAGCGACAGGGCTGCTGCGCTGAGGGAAGCTATGCGGCGGTTGACTGCTTGTGTGTGACTTTGATTTGGTGTCGTTGTTCAGAAGTTTATGTTTATATTTATATTATATAGTCTATAGGCTGTAGTCGTCCTATAGGAGTCCTATAGCTAGAATAGGCTAGAATGTTGTAGTCCTGCAAAGTCCTAGTTTAGTTCTTGTCCGCCGAGTGAATTCATTTAACCAAAGCACTCGAAACCAGTGCTTTTCAGAGACCTCCTTTAGGGTCTCCCTTCGGCGTCGTCCTGTTCTTTGCAAGACGTGACAACAGTGTTCCATCTTGCAATGTAGTTGCTAGATCGTCTAGGCTTCGGACTTATTTCTTATAGCTTAGCCTAGGCAGCCTAGCCGAGTCAGCCAGCCCAGCAGCTTGCTTAGCCACACTATGCCGGATTCCCGGATTAGCCCTATGGAGCCCTATGCTGTCCGAAGGTCCTAGTCTCAGTGCATGCAGTGACTGCAGTGTCGGTCGCTTAGTTTGTTATATTGCGATGTTATGCTGGGAGAGGCAAAGAGAGTGACCGACCGAATATGCAAGTGCAGTCACACGAACTCGGAATGCACATGTTGAACATGTCACATGATCGAAATTGTTGTGTGTTGCAGGCTCCGATAGATTTTCTTCTCCGTGGAGTTATGGCTGGTGGGGAGGAAGTGGGACTTGGCAGCATTCCCGGCTACTGCCTGCGAGTCCTGTTGCTCAGGCAGCGTGGCTGCACCTCCTTGTAGCTTGCTTATCTAGTGTCCAAAACCATGTGGTATCACAAGCTTGTGTGCTGAGCCTGAGAATTATATTTTGGCCAGTGACTGAGGTCGTCCATGTATGGAGTGCCGCTCAATCGTGCAAGACTGTTTTTTCTAGGCACGGAGACTTATGACTTTGTTCAAGACCGCGCGACCGAGAACACCGAAGGGACCATGGACAGCTGGGGTTTGACAGTGACATGACATGCATTTCACTGCATTTCAACTTTCGTCACGCTGTGCGGCAGTACTAGTGAGTGCAATGGCAGGACATGATCGCTCATGTGTTGACTACTTTGCTGCAAGACCCCTACCTGACGCGCCCCCCCCGCGCTTCTGCGTTTATGGACTGGCTGGCGGAGGTGAACACGGACTATCCCGAACAGGACACAGCACTTCTGAGAATCTCCGATGCTTCATGTTTGCAGAGTGCAGTGCAAGTGCTACGTGCTAAGTTTAAACATATTGCAACATTTGCATGCCGCCGATGATTTAAGTGATCTGGTAACAAAGTTTGAAGTTCTGTGGAAGGACAGGGGGGGGGAGGGGGACCGGCTGATGCTCGTGATGCAGTGATGTCAGTGATGTCTGTTTGTTGTGTCACTCCTAGATTGGACTCCTGGATTTAGGACTCCTAGGCCTAGGCCATTATTTTCCCCACCACACCCCCAAAAAAGCAATAAACACTTTTGTTTGTTCATGAACAAGTGCATTTTGCCTTTTTGCTCCCCACCCCACCATCACCGCCGCCGCCACCGCCGCCACCACCACCACCACCACCACCACCACCACCACCCCCGCCGCCGCCGCCGCTGCCGCCGCCGCCGCCGCCGCCGCCGCCACCAACTCGGTTGTTTTGACAAAGCGGCCGGCCTCCCTAAATCACATTCGGGTGGGCACAGGAGGGTGGGGTGGTGGGGGGGGGGGAGGGGGGTGGGGGGGGGCATGCCCCCTCCCCACCCCCCCACCCACCACCCCCAGGCAACCCTCACAATATCCACGGAACCCCCACGGAACCCCCACGGAACCGCCACGGAACCCCCACGGAACACCAACAACGTTAGAGCCGAAAAATTTCATTTTCGGCCCTAACGAGGACAGGCTCCGTGCCACAACGTTGGAGACATTTTCGGCCCGAACAAGGACAGGGTGGACACCTACCCACGGCTGAACCCCCACGGAACCCCCACGG